TATATATATATATATATATATATATAAATAGGAATATTTTAATGACGAAAATTATAGGTGAGAGGGCCACTGTTAGAACGATGTAAATAATTTTGATATAGTAAAGCAAAAGGTTTTGTGATTTGGCTAAAACTAAAAGCCACCGAACTTCCTTTTACTTAAGTTTCCAAAATTGAACAGTTAGCCAGTGGTAAGCTGATATGTGCTCTAGTACTACCAGTTCTGGAGTTAAGTCCTAACGTGCCAATTGGCAATAAACGTTGTTATAATAATTTCATTTGGGTGATATGGGTGAAATTTACTGTACGTGCCAAAAAATGGGGCCAAAATCGATGAATAATCCCAAATTTAAATTTTATGATGTAAATCATACTTTAATTTTTAGTTGCAACGTCATAGCGTTACATGAAATTGTACAAGGTTTGATTATTACTATTAACCATTACTGTTATCAAACAGAAATAATTTAGGTGTAGGGGTCTTATGAGATTAGGAATGATAACTAATATTACATTGTTTTAGGAAGACTGATTGGAATTGGTAAATTATTTTTATATTTGCTATAATTTAGACATCCTGAACAACGCTAACCATCTTAATTTAGCTTGCTCAAAGTTGATAAAATATTTCAGCTTTGTTTTACAGCTTTCCGATTCTACGAGTAATACCAGGGTAAGTAAGACGCATTTTGGCCAACAATAAACTTAGATGATGATAATCCCACAATGCCTACAAATTTACAATAACTTATAAGATACAGTCTTACCTATGAAAACTAAGGCTAAGCTAAATATATTCAAAATTGTTAAATATAAACTTAGATTTGTTTTACATTAGGTAACATTAAGCTAACAATTTTACATCGAAATTTTTTCAGCTGTATTAGCAAGCTGAACACCAGTAGAAACTAAATCGTATTCCAGTCTTTATTGGTGAATATTTTTACTAAATTTATCAAAGTTATTAAAATCATGTTTAAAATAAGAAATGGGAACTTAGAATTAAAATTGATCTTGTAACGTAAGTATATTCGGTATTAAAAATCGGACGGCTAAAGTATCTAAATTTAAATTTCTACTCGGAACTTGCTTTGAAAGAAGAAATGAAAACCCCGTAGACCATAGTTCAACGTCTTTCGGGTCGCTTGTAATTGGCATCTTGCCAATACTTTTTGGCGTCACTTGTTATTGCGAAATAAAGTGAAGGAGGAAACAAAAAACAAGTGATCATTAAATTAGGCAAATAACGAAACATTCACAACTACGTATTCCCCCTTTCGTCGTGAATTAGCATTGAGTAAAATAGTAACTAAGGTACATAATGTTGGAGGTATAACGTCATAAAATATCACGTGATAGGCCGTACGTGTGGAATAGCCGTAACGAGTTTTTTTTTCTAGTTTCTACGTTCTGTACCAAGTTAAGTTTTAATTCGATCATCTACGTATAACGCAACCGTAGGCTGTGCATTGTTACTTGAACATGATTCTAATTTGTTTAGACGGGAATAAGTGTAAATATTTCACAAATTATGAAAATTATTGGTAAGAGTAAAGCTAAATATCGAAAATTCGAGTTTATAAGGGTAGTACTAGTAAGAAAATTATATTTTATAGGTTAGTGTTTGCGAATAGACGACCATTTTGAATCGTGGCAACGTTAATATTTACGTTGAAAGTTACCAGAAGTTTTGAAAGTGAAGTGATGAGTACACTACTCATTCACTAAGTTTTCAGATTTAACCTACGACATCGATATAAATAATAAACTGAAAGTCGAATCATGTATCTAATATTACCCTCACTTTGCGTTTTTTATCAAAATAAAATTAACTAAAGCGTAACGTCGATACTCTTATTCTATGTAAAATTGAATGAAACGCTTAAAGATATAATAAAATTATAGAATTATTGGTTACTATTATATGCTACTGCTGACGAATGCAGCGAAAACTTTCCAACTGTGTGTAAATAGTAAATTTAGTAACCAAATCATACGATTTTTTTTTGTTTCATCGTGTTTCGAGTTCGTGCTATATATTTTGGGAACAGTAAGTAGCCTAACCTGAACAAAGCTTGTGGTTTCAAAATTATCAAGTACAATAATAGCAGTTAGTAAGTAGCGCCACCTCTTGTCGACTGTAAGGGAGCGTTAGAATCAATGAAGTACGAATAAGTTTGATGTCAGTAAGGACCTTTTTATGGTACTAGTTTTAAAATCACTTACTGGTTTTCTCTGCCCGTCTTTTACATAGTTCATTGTAAGA